GAGCAAATGGGACTGAAAATGGCCTGAGGACTTGCCCACGTGTACAATGGCCAGACAAATCCTAAAGTTTCCGCCAGTGTTGTTGCTGGAAAATTTTTAAAAATTATGCTCTCTTGATACTTCCTGCACTTCACATCTTTTACGAAACCAGCAATCAATGTAGGGCGATTGGCGATGGAATTTCAGGCTTGTAATTTTGCTTTACTTAGCGCTGGATAATGTAATGTGGTTTACTGATAGTAAATGGTGCAATTTTTGGTTTGAATACATAGAACTCTGACTCGAACTTTTAATAATAAAATCCCCATAGTGTTGGTTTTTTTTAAGTGGACTTTTATAGGAGGGAGGTAGGAACCAATTAGGAATGAGATTTACGTGCGCGAAGACGGTGAGAAGCCTCTCTCCAGTGGATATCTTTTATTTTGCTCATCTGCATCCCAATCCCCATTCTTCCTGTAACAAATGCCAACTAAATCATCTGCAACTATCCCTGTCTTGACGTCCGAAGTTCAAGGGCAGAGGGTAGGCAGGTAGCTCTTACAGTTAGCACAAACGACTGCCCCCGATACCGGTAGTCAAACCAGCATGTTGCACAGTTAATTCTTAAAAATACGGTCCTAATTCTAGAATGGCAACCTTTTTGGTGCTGTGGTATTTGCTTGCATTATTAACCTGGTTTAGTGGGGTAGATCGAAAACATTCATTCCCTTCAGTTATCACGACTTCCTTCGGCCGCAAGGAAAAGCTTGCGGTGTATGCAATCTTAAACCTTCGTAAACTACTTTTAAAGGTGATTAGATACATGTTTTCACATATAAAGATATCATTTTAACGAGGCGAGCGAGGATTGTAATGATCTAGCCTACCTCTCATCTTGATGATATTGCCTAAACCTATTTTTAGCGAGGCAAATAAGATGTGGTGCAGTTTTCACCTTCGTAGCGTTAATAAACCGGTCGCACTGAGGCATTTCTTGTTTCAAAGGTCTTATTTTTGGCCAGTTTAGTACTGCCTTACTGAAATTCCGTGCGAAACTACTAACTTGCGTTCACCTTGAAAAGTAAGTCAGCAAATAGACGTTTGTTTATATCACCGTTTATGGTAATGATAATGTGCAATTTCGCGTTATATTTCGAAATAAGCGTTCTCTATAGCATTTGTTCCCATAAAGTTTTTGATTTTGATCTCTTCTTTATCCAGTAGTAATCTAAATTCACCATGTTTGGAGTAGATGCAGCTAATGAAGTAAAGTAACATCTCAAACTCGACTGGAAGTCCGAAGAAAATTGTGCTCCTTTTTTTCAGCAATCCATCCCACTCAAATGAAAAATCGAGTATGTTGTATTTATGGTGCCTTCTGTTCACATCTAGCAGGTGAAGTCTACCACTATCGTAAAGCAGAAATGCTCTGCCACCATGATGCAGTCCAAGCACATTTGTATTACTCTTTTCCCCGATAAAGACGTGTTGAAATGCAGTATTAACGGCAAAATGAGGCTGTTCCATTATGCCGCGTACACTAGTTCGAAACCATGCGTTGGCGATTGCCTGGTGAAGCTTGAAATTGCTCATACACCCTGTCGATAGGGTTAACGTCAGTAAATTTAGGATGCAGTAGAATAAATGCTCGTTAGGTAAACGCATTATAAGGTTCTTAATCGCAGTAGTGGGGCTTCTTTCCCATTCTTTAATGACCATCCATAACAAGTCGTTATGGTTTTTTTTAAGCCCTTCTTTTGCAGCTGTTGTATACCAGAACTTTGTTTCACTCGTGACTTCTAGATTGTTAAAAAAATTGAAGAAATAGGATTTTTTGACGTGATTTCTGAAGTAGGACGTGAATAAATCGGATATTTGGGTATTTATAAAATCGACTGGGTTTTGGCAAATCTTGTGATGCGTGATGAGTCCCTGTAAAGTTAAAGGAAGAGCCAATTTATTGCTGAATGCTGAAATAATTATTGCTATGATGTAGACTTCCTCAAAGAATTCAAGTTAGAATAGGTCATCTTCGAGTAGCCACGACTTAAATTTAATGTCCCCACTTGGAATTGAAAGCAATGAAAATGTATACACAGTGCATACAGTCTCCAGAATATTTTTTTTTGTTGGCAAAGAAATGTAAAACTCGACTATTATCGGTGCCAAAAAGGTTCTTAATTCTTCGAAAGATGTGAATCTCAACGATTTAGAATTTAATATTACTGGTAATATGATAGCATCAACAGTGTACTGAGGATGCAGTGGGTCACAAAAGCATAAGAATTTTCAATTTCTTTCTTCGTCATAGCAATGCAATGCCCGGTTTTGTTAGTCGTTGATCAGTTAATTAATACTTGCATCGATAAGTTTTTTAAGGCCAAAGTCGATGAGCTTTGGGAAGTGAGAGAATTCGTTCAAAAAGTTATTGCCAAATGACAGGATGCGTCATGGAGGCAAACACATAAGGATTCATTGTTATGGGAGAAGCATAAACTGATCTCCACAATTCTGTGGGGCTCATTTTACTGTCGTATTAATAAAAGCAGCTAGCTTATTAAAAACAGGTATTTGTGTATGCTATTGAAGAAGGCAGAAAACGTTTTGAAATGGCCGAAGACCAGAAAAATGGATTAAGGTAAGCATTATGGATAGTCTTCGCAAAAATAACTCATATAGTAGCGAGAATAAATGCTTATGGTTTGGGTGTTAATGCATGCAAAACTTTATGCGCACTACGTACACAGAACAGTCACTAAAGCACTGACAAAGCATGTTTTTGAATACCTTCGCTGTGATTTAAATGTGTTGATCCCCTATTTACAGAAACAAACCTTTGTAGAATCAACGGTCCCCGACTGAGGGTTCTCGTCCATTCGGATCGATTGAGTGTTTGAACTCCCACCTGGCGCGTTGCAACCAGGCAACGCTTCCAATGGAAGTCAACATACCACACCCTTCATAACAAAGCACTCGAGAGTTGGGTATCTGCGGTGCCATTCATTGTTGTCGTTAGCTCTCGTAGAGTCAAAAGGTATTGCACCTTACCCCTTTGGAATTATTGTTTTTATTGCTTAAAAGTTCCAGATTATTCAACCGAAGTCAAACAGGTAGCGAATGTTGTATTACATGCGTATCTGGCTGCGGGTGGATGGGCATCGTATTCTTGAATTTATTCGCAGAATAAACGCAGAGGTTATTGTTAAACGCACCAAGATTCAAGGTTCCAAAAAAGGATTCAATTTTATTCGATAAATATTTTCACATGTAACATAGTCCTGCATTAAAAATTAAAAATTTAACCATGCAATCATCGGCTCACGAACTATTAGTTCGTAAAAGTTGTATTCTATAATTTTCCGCGATCTGATTACATTGGACACTAATTGCCAGAAAACCATTCCATAAATGGCAGTGTAGTGGCACAGAGAGAGTTGCCATACTCTTCTCTTCAAACGAAGGTCTGTAGGTCTCGACAATATGTGATTTTCATCACCGCTACATATAAAATCAGAACGTCTCCAGTGTTCCATGATGCAGTTGATCACATGCTGGTATCAAGGTGAGAAGGTCCAAAAATTTTAGCCGTGTACCATTTAACTCTGCACTCTCTTTAACAGTTCGATTATTTTGACATTGAAAGTCATTGACATTGAGCTTATTCTCAAGACTGGCATAGTCACGTTTACTAGTTTAACAAATCCTTTATTTCTATGATGAGGAGTGCATGTTGTTTGTTCATTTAGACTCACGCGATCCTTGTCATGACAAGTTACAATGAAGGCTCAGTCATCGGCAAGATACAGACCTCAATTTACAGCGAGAAATACTTTGCAACAAAGAATGCGATGAAGGTGGTAGACTTGCAAACCAATCGAAGAATGGCTATTGCTTTGATTGACGTTTGCTATGGTAACTATTTTTGTTCTGCTTGACATCTGTCAAAGGAGCAATAAGACTTAACAGCAAGTAAAGTACTAAAAGAAGAAGACTCTAAAACAGATTTGAAGCCTATTTCCAAGCCATGTAGATTGTTTTTAAAATTGACTGGAAGACAAGGTTGGTGGTTCATCGTTATGCTGAAAGTGGTGATTCACTGATTTTACGCTATAACACGAAAACTTGAGACAATAGAAATGTGGAGAAGATTGGAAGTTAACGATGCTGGGAAAATTCGAATGGATGTTGACAAAATAATTGAAATGCAGCGTATGCACAAAAGTAGGCTGCTTTGAACTCGCTAAATTTAATTTCGCGAAAATCGACAAATGTATGGGTAGGAAATCGATACAATTACCAACATATCATAATAATTTGGCAGGTGACCTTACTTTCGCGGACTTCGCGATGCACTTGAATGGGCAAACTCCCTCCATTACTTAAGTTTGCAAGTCCAAGCGCCATAACTCGTTATTTCTCATACAAAACAAAAAGCAGTTCATGCGAAATTTTCTACTTCACAAGTTCGGCAAATCGGTGTACAAATCTCCCTGTGAAATGCACCACAAATTTAGGGGAATCGTATCAATACGAGGCTGTAGATCTCTTTAGACTCTAGGATGAATAGTCATTTTATTAAATTTAGCCTTTCCCATTGTCACATAGTTTACCAGTCTTTAGAATGTCCAAAGCGCTTATAATTAGTGCCAACTGTGCATGGAATGCGGAACAGTTTACGAAAATTTTGTCACACAGGCTTCGAACCAAAGCAAGTCATAAATTCTGTCACCATTTCCCATCCCACTCTACTGGTCACCTATTTTACAAGTGATACGTTGTGCACAGACTAATCTCCATTGCTTGGTCCTTTTCGCCTTCATCGTTTTGGTTTAAGAAATTCCTGCGATAACTTATAGTGTCATAAACGACTCCACCTATCATGTTGAATAGACTTCAAATAAAGTATACTAACGTAATCACGTGCCTGTGTGGCTTAGGTGCTCCTTTATAGCATTTCTTTTCCATTGCAGTTATTCTAGTTTTGGATGCTACAGCTGTGTTCAAGTCGATAAGGTAGAACAATGAAATTTCAGACCTCTTAAATGGCCCTCCGACTAGCAGGCTTGTTTTTATTTGAAAAATTATATGGGAGATAAGGGTTTCCAATTCTTGATTAAGTCGTACCAAGACCAAATGTTAAAACACCAAATTAACAATTAGCAGAAAGTGTGAAATGCGAATGATTTCTTCGATTTAGCCCTACATGACCTCCAAGACATTTGGCTCCACGTCCAACAACATAAAATTATATGCCAAAGCAAATGCGATTAATCTTTCAAACGTGGTAAACAATACGACCCGATGCCTTCACATCCTCGGTTACTTTTTTGTTTACACCCACCGGCTTCGTCCATTCTTTTATCACTGGTTTGTGGTTAAGAAAACTCATGCTTAAATGTCGTACAAAATGGCACATTTCTAAGCACTAAATAAGAGTGGGAATGTGGCTCAAATGTGTTATTTTAATCTCTGTCCGGCGTTCCTTGATTCTAGTGCTGAAAATGGAAAGGTTGTTAGGGTAAATAAAGTAGTACAAGAGTGTTTCAAGTAGTTCAGGCGCTGAGATAGCATCAGTTGTTTCTCCACTGTGCAGCAAACATCACACGAAATAAACATTTTCCGTCTTTCCTTAAGAGGCCCATAAAATTATGGACAAAAGAGCAAGTTAGATCAATGTAGAACTAGAATACATTGGACAATTTTGAGAAGCTGTGGCGCATTGTCGCACCATTTCACATCGTGTGCTTAAATCGGTGAATTTCAGCGCCTTAGGGCGTTTTCAAAGGGACCCTAGTCCAAGCTGCTATCCAGCCAAACCAAATGCAGCGTGCTGATACACAACGCAGTGTGAATCGATCAATAATACGGTGAGTTGCCCAATCAGATCAAAGGAGGCTTGTACGACGCAAAATGCGTAAACAGATTACCAAAACGCACGTGAAACAAAGTTTGTGAGCTTGCTTGGGCAATCCCAAATTGGCAAGCGATCCACCTTAGGGCCTGTCCGTGCCACGCGATCTGTCTGTCTCACATACCTGCGCACCACATTCGCACACGCGTGCGTACACTCGCATCGTTCATGGTCCGATGGCAAGGTTCTTGCGCGGGAAGCTATGTGCGCGCTCCACGCTATTGAGAGAGACCGTAAAGCCCATTGGCTACTGGGATTTCTCCTTCTCCTGCAATGGCCTGTTCGTGTATTTGCACGCATATGCGCGTTCCGGACCGTAATTAATGGGCCGTTTGTGGCTTTACTCCCTTTCCTCCTTTTTCCTCATTACAACTCCTAATTCCGCTTCATTCGAGAAACACGTGTGCCGAAGGATGGGTGCTGTGAACATCTTCAAATGGGAAAAATCATGGAATAGTTGAAAATTGAGTGCCGTTCTGATCTAATGCGATGAAACTCGGGGGTTTAGTTGTTTCCCTGCTATTATTAATCAAGACGGCCAATGCTGTTCGTGGTTGTACAGTGATCGCCATTCAGCCGGATCTACTCTGGAAAAAAGCCGTTTGTGATTCTGATACTTCACTTTTGACAAAATTACCTACGGATTTGCCTGATTCGCTCATAAGTCTGCGTGTGACTCAACAATTAATCAGACGATTGGATGACGGAGAGCTACGAAGACTGGTGTACCTTGAAGAATTTTACTTGGACTCATGCCAGTTGGAACAATTGGCCTTAAATGTGTTTGAGGGCTTGAATCGTCTTCGGATTTTGAGTTTGCGCAACAACTCTCTTCGATTGGATGAAAGTGGCCTTCTTCCGGCAACATTCTATCGTTTACCTGCACTTGAAGTTTTGGATTTATCAGAGAACCCTCTGGGGAGAGTCCCTTCCAACTTTTTCCCCAGTTCTTTAGGCAAATCCCTTTTTGAGCTTCGACTAAGTCATGTAAAAGAAGAATTTCCATTAGGATTGGAAGCGTCGACTTTTTCTGTCCTGCGTAATCTTCAAGTATTGGATTTGTCCTTTTGTAGATTGGAGACATTATCTAGTGACTTTCGGTCCGTTTTCCATCGAATGGAAAGACTTCGAGAACTCCAACTTGGTGGCAACCCTTGGCACTGCGACTGCAATCTTCGATGGCTTCGAGAATGGTACCTCTCTGACACTCTCCCATCGATGCAACTTTCATACGACCAAAAGACGAAATTTGGAACAATTAATACTGTTACTCCTACCTGCAAGTCCCCTCATGTTGTAAAACGACGTTTAATTTTCATTCCCCCTGGGAGAGGGGCCATTGAGCCGGAGGAATTTATTTGTAAGCAGTGGATCGACTCCAAGCAGAAGCATATTTCCGCTATTCTCGGATCGAATCTTTCCCTTTCGTGTCAAGGCTATTTTGAAGTGAGGAAGAACGTTCAGTGGTTCAAGGATCATTTACCGCTAGTGACTCCCTCCCCCAATTGCGTCATCTCGCAATCTAATTCTCTGGATTTTATAGCTTATTTAAACATCAGCCGAGTAAGATATGAGGACGGGGGGATATGGGAATGCGGTCTAGATGATGGTGGTATTTTGCAGAAGGCCTCCATTAATGTGACTGTTAAACACATTTCTGGGTCTGGATCCGCTTTGGGAATGGATGAGGCCCAGAGGCAGCACCTCGTGTATGCGGGGATTGGTATCGCAATTGTGTTTGTTATTCTTGCTGTCATTGTGCTTACAGTTTTCTGCTGTTGGGGTAGATGTGGGTCGGACAAACTGTCAGCTATTTCAGGCTGTGCTACGCGACTGCAGAAAAACAGTACCTACAGTGTGGGCATGTCGGATACAAGTGAAGACGCCCGAGAACTGATAGGCACTCGTGTTGCCAGCAATCCACCAGATTCACCCGTTCCTATGAAAGCTACTTCCGCTAGCGCCAGTAACCCTGGTGAAGTGGATGGCGTTAGGACTAAACTGACAGCGAAAAATCATGCAATATCAACGAAGCTAGTCGCTGGGGGGTGCTTGGTCTCAACCACCTTGGCGAGTGAGAACGCCTTCGGTGTTTCATCTTCAGGATTAATCGCTCTGACAACTGCCACAACGACAACAACGGCTCTGGCTCGGCCTGCTTCCTCGGTTACTAAAAGACCATCATTGTCGTCTCATCCCACTGTGATGGCTGCTGCCAAAATGTCGAGTTCTTCAAACACCTCAACGAATGCTAACTGTACTAATTTGTGCCACCAGCCAACCTCCGTCGGTTACGGGGCAGTGTCGCTTCCAAGCCGCCTGTTTGGTCAAATAGCAAGCGCAGCAGGCAGTGTCACCGTGCCATCGGCTAACAACCCATTTTTAGTTTCTACACCGTGTCCCATTCATGGAGTCAATACAACATTACATAACAATTCAAATGAGCAAATAATGCGAACATCTATTTTCGATGTTTGTCCAATCCACGGCAGTCCCTCGAGTATTGCTTCTAAAAACGTGCCAAAAAGAACTGCCTCTTCGTTCACGCAGACGCCTCGACAAACCACTAAGTCGAAGTCCACTACCTCGCTTCGAGGTGCCCGAAATAGGGCTGACACATCTAGTTATCATATGGTACCTACTCCTTGTATCCAAAAAAAGTCGCTTGGATCCCATCAGCGCAACAGTGCAACACAGGTTCAGTACCGCACGCTCCCATCGAGGATAAGTAGAAATACGGTACCCTTTTGCCCAATTCATGGACAGTTGACATCTTCTTTACTGAAGAGGAGGAGCAGTTCAATGAGTTTTGACCAACTAAACCAATTTTCATTAAGAAGTCGTAGAGCACAGAGCATAACGCTTGATGTCCCTTACTGTAGTAGCTGCGCTTCTACAACATCTTCTGATGGTGAGGGAGTGGTGGTTGCAGATTTCGAGGACTATTCATCTGATCTCACGGACAGTCCGGCTGTTGAATGTACTGATTCAGAATCATCAGATTATGGGGTGAATTCTCGACCAACTTTTAGAAGGGCTAGTTTGAATATGTCTTTAAGCAGAACCAGGTTTGCCGACGAGCAAAAATATAAAGACAGTTCCGCTTCATCAAGTCAGGAAGAGGCAGCAGAGACCACACTAGCTTCTGTATTTTCCGAAGATTTGACCGATTGCAATAATCTCTCATTCAACTCTGATAATCGGATTCAACAGCATCGGCCATCTTTAATCACCCAGACCATCTTAGGCGAACCGCTTATGCTTACCGCAAGAGAAAGTGGTGGTACGAGTAACGCACCGTTGCCCAGAAATCCATCCATTAATGAAAGGTCAGAAGAATGTCTTACTAAACAGCCAAACAGTATTTGTGCACCACAAAGTAGCTCTGAGGTGCATTACCACCATTCCAGACAAAAGGAAACTATTCCCTCCTCCAGTTCTTCCAATCTGATGACCCCAAAGTCTATTCTTGTCAAAAGCTCATCGCAACGAAAACACAGGAACAGGTAACTTGAATTTGAGTACTAAAGCGCTGGACCGTTAGTAAGTGCTTATTAATTTTTGCTCTTCCCAACATTTTCATCCTTCACCATACCGCATTCTTTATGTACATAAAGTGCTGTGTATTTTCGCTTTTTTGAACAGAAATGCTCAAGGTACTGTGGAAGTTTGATTTACTTTAGATGTAGCGCCATGGCATGAGATACGTTAATATTCCTTCAGTGACCTAGTGTATTAAATGCCAAGGTAGAGTTAGACCTAAATTACTCCATTAGAGATCATAAAATCCGGATTTTAAGGTCGCTGAGTTGGTTAGAAGCTGTCGGTCCAGTTATGTGCGACTGGACCCCGGATGACACTTTGAGTCCAACTTACGTGAGAGCTCTTAACGGCTTAGCAAATGCTGTTGGAACAGGCAATCAGTAGCTCCTTTACAGATCCACTGCCACGTGCTTAATGAAATGATCTACCGTTGAGGTATGGCTGCACTGAAGCTCCTAAAGGTTGCACCCAAATTGCGTGTTGTGATTAGGAAGGCTTAAAAGTTAGGGGATCTACTAAAAATTGTTTACTCACCACAATTCTTTTATACCGGTGGTGGGGACCGTATTCGGTATCAAAGCGTGTCATGACTATTCCACTATAACGCTTACTGAAATTTTTAGCCGATTTGGATAGACATTTGAAAGGAGGTAAATGACAATTAAATCAACTCAACGTACCTTTGGTTATATTAGTGTCGACTGGCAGTCTAATTTATGCATAAAATAAACTGCAGCATCGGTGAATGCAAGTACGTCAACCACTGTTTTGGAAATTGCATATCTGCCTCAATGATGATGCAGTTTACGCAGTGGATCGAACTTTTCACTAGGGTTCATAGAGGAAGTGCAGCTAGCTTTCCTGTTTTCATCGTATGGTGCAAGGATAAAATAAGCTACCACATTATGTTCGTGTATGGCATACTACATAGCTGTGGTAGAAAGTTGATATGGTAGCCCTCACCATCCTGTAAATTGGTGTGCATTTTGAGATGCCATTATGATAAATTGCATAATCAGCTAATGCAAACTTATGGCATTTTTAAGTGGCTGAAGGCACCAAAAGGAATGTGCAATAAAAATGGCAAATTGAAATTGCCGGTGTTTTCCTTGTGTTGGTTGCGGGGGGCTTGCTTTCAACTCTGCGTAGTCAACAGAGCTGAGGTAATGTAGGCATCTACGTCTGGCATTTTCCTCCTGGTTATAGAAAATGCCGAGTGATTTGGCTAAAACATTTCGTCTGTAAGCTTTAGGAACGCTAATCTAAAGGGTGCATTTGCTGATTTGAAGTGTTGTTTGATAATGAGGTGGGCTAAGTATTATGGATACAAACAACACAACGGGAAGAGCGCTAGCTGTGAAACAAATTTCTTTAAAACTTGCGCTTTAAGTGTTCATATATTTTCTGAAACAAATTCATTCTATTGGTGCACACGCTTTCTAAAGACCGATACTTGAATAAGGGAGAGTATTCATAACTTGGCTTTTTTGCAGAGGAATGATAAAGAAGATAGTGTTTCTTAACAAAGCGACCAATAGAACGAAATCTTGAAACTCAACACCAAGAAAAAAGTCGAATTATTCACAGGGTTACAGTCAACATCGTTTCAAATAAGGAGTACCATTTATGCTCCATTCATTTGGGAATTTGCTGCAATAACGATGCCCGAAATTGAACAACATGTATGAAGCACCATCAATTTGCCTATTTGTTGGTACCTCTTCCAGTTCTTGGCGTTACAAATCACCCGCCACCGAGTCATTATCACGAGCAAACTTGTTTGCAACAAACAGTCTAACATCGACAAAAATAAACCATTGGTTGAATTGCGGCGCTTACCGTCGCATTCTTGCTTGAAACAAGTCAAGAACTCTGTCCCTACGTAAATGTAAGTCTTTTTTGCTAACACACTACTGGTCCCAAAGGAAATATCAATTTGAATCTTGTAGGTAAATGCAGTTAACATGGTCCAAGCAACAGCAATCCTCCTTCGATTAAGAAAGGTTAGGCGATAGACTCCAGCACATGACATCTTCCACTAGTGCATATGGATAGGTACATTAATGAGAACAAATCAAATTTTAAACAAAGTTCAGCATTAACACTTTTACAGTTGAAGATGATGTGCAATCCAAAGTGGCTTGAATGATTGCTATGAAGAAAGCCTCGTATGACCGTGAGCTTGCCATGCAGAACGAAATTTGGACATTTTTTACGACAAAGCTCACTTACGTCTTCGCAAATGGAGCGCTGACAGGAATTCTCAAAGGACCGAAGTGGAGAAGATTGGTGCCAAAAAATGTTAATGGATTACAATATCAGAGTGCATTTATTGCTTTCATAGTTGGAAGCATAGCAGAAAATAAGCCACCAGAAAAAACCTTGGAAGGTGGATATTTCAATTCCATCACATTCTGTGGCGACCAATTTCCAGTATCATATCAACTCTTCCAAATAGTTTGAGCTCCAGCTCTCGAGATCAAAAGGCACCCATGTCCAGCCTTAAGAAACTTGTTCCAAATAAGAACACAAATAGAAATGCCTACAAATAAAATATAACTTGTATCCTCAAACAAAGACGAATTGTGCAGAGTTGAAATTCGGAGAAGTCGTACTTATAAGTGTTTTGAGGTTCTGAATAAATTCACAGCATCAGAATGACGAAAATGTTCCGAGGTTGGAATCAGGAAACGGGCAAGCAATTACCAGTGCTTTCTGCGCTGGGCGAGTAGATGCGTAAATGCAAGAAAATAAATCAACAACTAGTTTCACGAGTGCGTGGCAAACGATTCTTCGTAAGCGTACTTATTAAGTTAAATTTCATCAAGATGTTCATTTGAATAGTCTCACGATAGAATCGCACATACGTAAGAAATATCATTTTAAATTTTCCACTTTAAAGGCGACAGTGATTTTGCTGTCATTGAACAATTTTACTAACTAGTCAAAGGCATAGCGAATACGTTTGAAAACCCTCGCCAATCGCGCTCCGCATAAGGCAGCCACAATTGCCAATTCCCATTGTGGATGGCATAGATGTTTGCATGCAAGAAAACCCACCACCAATCTCACTTGGAGTAGTTTACAATACTTAGCCCGTAAATCACTTTAATTTTGCTTCTAAACTTTGCTTTAGTGCACGATACAAGTGTAGTATGGACATCATTGTACCATGGTTTATGCCCTCACTTTTTTTCCTTTTATGGTTGTACACAAAGGCTCATTCTCGTAAGCTCTTCTCTGCCCTAAATGGCTCTGGAAGCCAATTCGGCCATGAACACGAATGGCAGTCTGGGTAGAAAGGTAAGAAGAATGCTTCAGGACAAACTGCACTCTTTCTGGACTATTGCAAAACCAATAACCGTTCGGAATTTCAAGTCCTGGTGGAACGCTTAGGAATGCACCTTGATTGAATGGTTTTGAACAATATTGGGGTAGTCAGCTGTTGGTATTCACTTTGTGTCACTGTTAAATAGAGTTGTTCGTCTTTGAAGGCGCACCTAAAATTTTGTCACAGGTGCATAAAAATAATTAGTATTAAGTCATAACATTAAGTTTGAGGTATTAAGGTAAGCGCGCCAAAAATTAGGGACTACGTAGGAGTCGTAAACAAAACTTACTTAATGGGACTAGCCACTCTCATACGGAAAGTTTGAAGAAATTTTTGGATGCATTTTTACTTCCCATATGCGAAAACTTCCCTACTGTTTGGTTCAATTGTATAAATTAGATGTGTGTTAAGATTAAAAATGGCACTTTTTGTTAAAGTATGGCCTGAAAAGCGATTGTCGCCGTGAGATAAAGCTGCGCAATTAACGAAAATTGGGCAAGGTAAATAAAATCGACAAGCCATCTATTTTTTAAGGCCACAATTTAAACACAAGAAGAACCCACAAACACCCTCGACGCAACGTGCACGGTGCGCTCACCAATCACGCCTGTCCATGTGAACCTAATGCGAGTTCCCCAGTGGAACTTTTCGCTTTGGTAACAATCAGCCATAAATATTCAAAGCTTTCCAAGTGGTAATTAAAAGGATTTCATCTGCGTACAGCTGCGTATGCCCTTTACTGCACTTGTCTACACTGTCTCCGCCAATTCACTCCTGTTACAGTCCAGTTTCGTGTCATGTAGGAGTTCGAGTGTGTGCAACAACAAGAGGGCTTTTGTAATTTTTCTTTCTATTTTGAATTTATGAATGCGATCTGCTGCTAAAAAGAGTGTATTATTTTTAAAAGTTTTCCCTTTAAAGCAAGCAAGATATAATAAATTTCCTTTCGAGTTTTGTTCACATAAAGTATATTGGTGAAGGAAGAAATGCACACAGAGGCCATAGAAAACAAAAATTATCCAGCAACTCGGTCATGAGAAATTTAATGCACAAGCCTTAAAAATACATGTTTAAAAATTCTTACCGATTATGCATGTCTGTGTAAGAGTAAATTATTTAAGGTCTTCCAGGTGTTACTCTTGGCATCTCGCAGATCAACGAAAGACGTTAATGCCTAACCAATCTTTTATCAAGTGCTGCAGAAAAAGTCATTCGCCTACAAGTCATGTGTCATTTAACTTCTGCAATAACCTTGAAAGTCCGACCAGTATGTCTGGTTTTGTGCATTTACAAGTTCCTTTATGTGCTGCCAACTACGAAGGCGCATGAAGTTGGAGAAGTCCATCGCCAACAGTGGCACTTTTGATGCAGTCTTTGAGCTGTTCCATCTCGCCATTTCATGCTACCCATAAAATTTATTTTAGGCAACGGTATTCTGCATGATTTTACACGATTAAAACTAAAAACTAAAGTGACTAATTTTTGTCACCCACATGTCAAAAAAAGGATTATACTACCGGGACGTAAACTTGCTCTTATATGCATTATTGTTAGTGGATTCTTACATGCCTCCTCAAAGTTGTTCTTTACGGTAACTGTGACATGTCTTAACCCACAATTTGCTTTGAAACATTAA